AGAAACATACTGTTTCCAATCATTCAAGTGAAATTCACTACTTTTTTTGTTATTAGATGAAAATTCTCATATCAAAAATAATTTTGCATCGATTATCACATAATTATGGTGTTTTATCAATTTCAGTAACGAAGCTTCTCATATAATTTTTACATCGAATACAAATATTTTTTCTAATTCAACATTGTTACCATATCCTTCAGTGATGATGATTGGCAACATTGGTTAATTAGCTATCAAAAATTTGTTCTCTTTCTGCTGTCCCTGTTTATGTGAACAAGATTGATAATTGTGATGGAATTGACCGACACTTGATGAAAAGTCCTTGTATTGAAGTACCTAACACTTTTTTGTGAGAGTTTCACAGAACTCTCTCAGAACTTTCTCAGGCGTGCTTAGTCATTCGGTTCTGTGAAACATGTGTTGCGGTTTTGTCAACTATTCAGTCAAAATCTCACAATATTTTTTAGTTTTATTTGAATTTATTGTTCCTTTTCTTCTTAATTAGTTTTTTTTCAGTTTTGAATAAATGTTTTTTTATCATAAATATGTATGTTATTTGGAAAAATAAAAAGTTATCACTATTATTTTAGGGAACAGAAGTATTATTTTGAAATGGTATGTTTCACAAAAATGTCTGTGACCATATCAAAGTCATTAAAGAAATAATAATAAATTTAATAATCCCAAGACAATTATTTCAACATACATATGGAAAAAATATTTTTTCAAACTTCAGCACCTGTAGTTCAAAAGTTGGGACTTTTAGGACATACATTCACATATATTAGTTTCATTGAAATGAATACCAAAATAAGCTCTTTCAATGATAGCATGTTATTAAAAAATACTCTCTATATCCACCTACCTCAGGTAATGTGTCAACATATGACAAATCTTCATGTTCAGGTTCTTGGTCCGACCTTTGATATGATTGTCTGTCATGATGAGCCTGAGAAGAGCTTGTGTAATGTTTGTGCTTTTTCTTCCTTCTCCTCTGCATGCGAGGTGAACCAGTACAGCCATCTTCCCTATCGGTATCCGAACTATCGGTGTTACCACCGCATGCACTGGTTGAGTTAGTTGAAGAAGAGGAGCTCTTAGATTCCACTGCATTCGAATGAAAATCTGCGAATAATTTATTCGACTTTATATAACGCATCATAATTCGTTACCCAATATTCAAAGTGAATTTCAATATATCCATTTGAGAAATGGAATAGTTACCCAATTTAGGGGGTTGTTTCAAGCGATAGCTCTGTAATTATCTCAATCTGTAATTATTTCAATTTTACTGAAAGATTGTATTTTATATGCAAATGAATTTGTAATCAGTTCATTTCAACAATTTCGAAATAAATGAAACTTCATGACTAAATATGAACTTAATTTACAAGTCCACTGATCAGAAGAGCTCTTTTGCTGAATTTACAGACGAACACAATATTGAAATGAAGTTTCATCAAACTCTCAAAATACAGGGTGTAACTTAATGAGTGTAAAACATTCTGGGAGGTGATTTCTCATCGAAAAAAAGATAGGATCTTTCATATAAAGAAACTTCATTAGAGCATCCCTTGTTGGGATACAGCCCCTTAAAGGGGGTACATAAAATTTGTATAACATTTTTTTTCACTAGCACTGAGAAAGTTACAATATTGAAAGCAACCTGACGTTTTGTGCGTGCTATCAAATAGACACTCAGCCGGTAATTTATTTGGTTTATCCAATGATTGTAAGGGGTGGAGAACGCAACCCCTAAAATTTATATCCAATGTAACTTTCTGTCTTATCATTTGTTTATCATTTAAAAATTCATTTCCGATAGCCTGTTTNAGTCACCATCCTAGTTCAAGCAATTTTATGAATATTTAAGATGTATTAAACGAACGTCATTTTTTATGGAGGAAAATCAGTTTCTATCAATCTTCTCTGGGTGTTTTCCACTTCCACAATATGAAAAATGTAATGGAGAACTTACTTCTATACACATATAAAAAGGTCAAACTTTTCACCGATAAGTTATTGCGATAATTTCAAAGTATTTTTCACGAAGGCAAAATGTTCTAGTCATCAGTAACTTTTCGTATTTGATTATTTTGCCTATCACAACTTCTTCGATAGATATCAAAGGAGTTTTGAAACGTCTGCCCTTTTTACACGTGTATAAAGGTTTCCATTAAAATTTTTATAATTATCAGATTGTGTGAGTTGAAAATACCCAACGAATGTTGATTTGAAATGTATTATTATATCTTTCTTCTTTCTTGGGAAAACATGTTACAATAATAATGAATTATCTTGTTATCCTCGTGAAAAAATAATATTTCTTTTTATGTTTTGCCCATAAGTAACGATCGATATGTATGCAGATTCAACTCACCAATTTCGTAGTTTCACAAAAAAAAATTAACATGATACTGACTTACCGAAACAGGATTTTATAAATTTAGAATTAGTAACGACATAGGTTTTAGCCAAGATCAGATGATCTTCAGTAGGTATCGTGAAAGCTAGATTTCAAGCTAGAGGTGATACCAAATATCAAGGTGATACTAGTGTGAAATTTTAAATTTATTTATTCACAGTAGTGAAAAAACACTGCATTCGTCCAGCTACAACCAGCATACTGAAGGTGCTGTTTGTTCAATTTCAAGGGAATTTCACTTATCATCGAGCGGTAACAGAAACATGTCTACCTACTACTAGCAGTTCTGACGAAGAAGTCGTCATTATAGTAGCCGCATTATCGCGGACACAAATAGTCACAAGAAAGAATGTTGTGGGTCCATCCCATCAATCAAAAGGAGGCAAATCTAGTGGAGTTTCATAATCTTTTCAACAACCTGAAAGTAGAAGAGGAGAATTTTTTTCAGTATTTCCGAATGACTCCAGGCAAATTTTCAGAACTTCTGAATATTCCAGAGCATGCCTTAACAAGCAACTCAATTTTTCCTCGTCCATTTTCAATGGTACAATCTGACACTGCTGTCGACTAACGAAATATCAAAACAGAGAGAAACTTCCCAGGTACGTTTAGACAAGTAGATGCTGGCAAGCGCTGGCCGGCGACGCGCTCACTTGGCCAGTCCGTCACAAAACGTACCGTTATTTGCCGGAGAGGATCGGAGAGATGGAATCCTTTCCGGCGGCGGACGCTCTTGACTGTGCCGTGCCCGGCTGGTGGGCGGTTGTCCATTCATTTTCCGTGCCGTCCTGTACTGTGCCGGACAAGTGGGCGACAACCTTAACTATTTTTTGTTCTGTTGCGTTTTTTGTCAGACCACCAGTGTTTTTCTTTATCCGGACTTTTGTCTGTCTTGATCACATTCTCATCATCGTCTTCCTGGGCTGGTTTTTCGTACTTGTGCCCTTTTTGTCTCAAGATTGGAAATTCCAATTGGGAGATTATTTTCTGGGCATACCTTATGCGTGTTGAAGCTGGTGGAGCGGTATGAAGACAACTTTGTTTAGGTAACTCTTTTATAGGAGGTAATCTGCTAACGTGATTTCTGTCCGAGCGACAGGAATTTTCATTTTCATGGCATGCTGTTGATATGTTTTTATAGCCCGTCTAGCTGGTTGTCGAGGATAGGCTCCTGAACAGTGGCCACTACAACAAGGTGGACCTTTAACAATATCTAAAGAACATGATGAGGAATAAACCGAAGATTCTCCGCTACTAACACTGTAGAGACTGTCCGACTGGAGAACTGAAGATGTTGCAGAATCCATGGAGTATCCACTTGACGAATTCAGTATATCACCTGACTTCAGTCGAATTACTTTTGATTTGCAAATGACACATCTCAAGGGTAAGAGTCTCTGTGCGACTGCATTTTTGATGGTTTTGACGAAACATTTTCAGCAAACTACTTGAAGTCCGCATGGAATAGTCAACATATTGGCTTTGGCATTGATGCAAATCACGCACACTTCTTCTCGGCATGTTGCTAATTTGTCATCGCTCTCTTCTATTCTCGCCAATAACTTATCATAACGCCTCTTTGGGTGGTTCATGATCAACCATAGGTTCCACTGACCCGGGGTGTACACAACACCAACGCTTTTATTTTAAACTCTATTGTACCCAATACCGGCTTACGATTTACCGATTTTTCTTAAATTTCGCACCACGCGCTTAGACAAAATAACTCCCCTATTTAGGCCACTTTCCTGAGCTTCGAAGGCTAAGGACTGAGACCCTCGCCTTGACGAGATCCGGTGACCGACTTTTTCTGTATCTCGCAAGAAACTCCCAAGCCCTCGCGTCAATAACGTCAGCCACAAAAACCTCATATCAGCGTTTTTTAACTTTCCTAAGCGTATGATCTTCGGTAGAATGTAATATATTCATTTGTTTAGTCTAGCCCAACTTGTACATGACCACAACGACGCTAAAAGGTCCGACAGTCATAAAGTAGTTCAACGCTTTTTCAACTGGAAAAATATCGACACCGAAGAAACGTGTAATCACCTCGATCTCTATGAATGAAATAATATTTCACGGTAACCATCGCAATGGCAGTTATTACAGTGTGTCTTGATATATACTGATCGAATATATAACTCTCGTCTGATTCCTACTAAGTTTTTTATTTGTTACGACTGGTTTCAGTTTGTTAAACCATTCTCAAGTAAACTGGAGTTTACTTGAAAAAGAATTTCTACAAAAGAAAAAGGTCTTCAATCGAACAAGATATTCTGATCGATAAAGGATTTTGTACTCTGGACATTGATGCTGTTAATTTTTCTTCAAATTTCAACTCATTGCTATGCGATGTTGAGTGATTTTTGGCCAATTTCTCTCTACGAATTTCAATCGATCCAAAGCGCTGCCGAACCAGGCGTTTGGCAATGAAAGTGTCAATCAACGCACTGTTCGACGTTGATTTGCGATATTTTGATCCGGGAATTTCAGCATCGAAGATGAACCTTGAAGTGGTCGACCTCCAGTAATCCAGGACGAGAACTTGAGGATCCTGGTGGAGGCTGACCCATCACAAATGGTGCGTGGGATGACGGAAGAACTGGGTGTTAGCTCCCATGCGATTTTTGATGGTTTGAAACGTATCATAAAAGTGGAGAAGCTCGAAAAGTAGGTGTTCAACGATTTGAACAATCGTCAGAAATTGTTTCGAGATTCTTCTTTGCTTTTGCGCAACCAAAACGATTCTTTTTCGGAACGGATCGTCACGTGTGATGAAAAATAGATCCTCTACGACAATAGTGGACATTCAAGACAAAGTTTGGACACCGATTAGCCACCCAGGCACTTCCCAAATGCGAAAACAGCAGAGTCCTATTGTTAGAAAATCGACTAAATGTACTGAAAATTGCGTTAGCAGCAGTCGACAGTGGTCAAGGGATGAGTTCCGATCCTGCTCCACGACAACGCCCGTTCGCTTGTTTCAAAACTCAACGTCCTAAAAGAAAACGAATTGAGCGTCGAAGTTCTGCCGTATCCACTGGTCTCCACAGGCACATCGCCGATCGAATACCATCTTTTCAAACACTTCGGTAAATTTATCACCGGTAGAACCTCAGCCAATTAAGGCCAAAGACGGCCCTAGTCGACTTCATCGAATCTCGAGCAAACAATTTTTATGCTGGCGAAATTAATCGGCTTCTGTTACGTTGACAAAAGTGCAATGATTCAAATCGCACCTATAGGCCAAAATGTACTATGACGATGAAATAATAAATATTCGATAAAACGTTTCATGGAAACATGGCCACCATCAACTTTTTTTTTCCAATACGGACCTGTCTTTTTTATTACAGATATTGATAGAGCAATAAATTCACAATCCAAGAGTATATCAAATTTGATATTTTTATAGAGTTTCATTTTAAATAACTACCATCATCAGTGACAACAATTTCAAATTACGGTCCTATCGTTACTTCTTTTGTAAATTGTTTGGATTTCTTCAAAATATAATTCAGAAAACCCAATGAATTCGACAGGTAGGTACCCTTTACAATGAAAATTCGTACTGTTTCGTTTTGTAAATTTTTGAATTGCCGTAATCCTTCTTTCAAGGCTTATTTTACCACATAAAAATCTACACAGTGAAAACTTCTTTTTTTTCAATTCAGGATTGGCCAGTTATAAAAGTTATGCT